TAATTTTAAAGTTCAATAATCTCAAAAGGAAAACAGTAATATGCTCATTTTGCACAGTATATGCTCATTTTTGTAATATGCTCATTTTTGCAAAAGTATTTCGATAGATACGCCTTGAATTCTCCTTTTAAAAAAAAATATATTACTATATTGGTGGTTGAAATCACACATTTTTATCTCTAGAGCTACCGTCAATTAGTGGTTCTCAAGTTTATTTCTTTAAAATTATCAAAATAAATCATGTATTGTTTTAGGATATTTTGACAACTTTTAACCAAATATTAGAGCAGATATATTTCCTTTGTCAATTTCCCCATTTCCATTTTTGTATGACCTCTACCAATTAGCACAATTTTGCTTCCAGTACTTGCCTTTCCAGCACTTTGCCTTCGCCAGTGAAGTCCCAATGTACAAGATAATAACTTCGATATCATCTCTTCATTTTTTGTTTCAATTAAATTCTATAAGCTTAGGCATGTCAACAAGCAGTCTAGTTACGTAAAGGAATAACAGCTCTATTTTGCACTTATACTAAAGTGTAACTATATGTTGTAACGTAACAGTGTATGACAACAGAGCTAAAAGCATCAATTCCTCGAGAGGTAATGCTAAAATGATGTTGCTTGAGAGACACACACGAGAAGTGATGTTCTCTTTTGTGTAGTTGAAAAAGAGAGTTTTTTCTGAGAAGAGATATTTTCTTTGGGTAATATTTTGTGATTTTTCGGGTGAATGTTTAAATAAATTGTTTGGTACAACTCACGTCTTATTTCTGGTTGATGTGACACAACAGAATTTTACTGGTGGCAGCGGCGGGATATAGTAAGAGTAGTTGATTTAAGGTAGTCAGTGATTGTATATGTAGTTTTTTATCAGTTGTAAATTATGACTTTTCTTAATAAAGCGAAAAAAATGGATTTGATAGAATTGGTCGACGAATTAGGTGAATCTGTTCCATCTCAAGCAAATGCTTGTGAAATTAAAAAAATAATTCAAACTAGTAAACATCATGAGGTTGAGGATGTAAAGATGTGTTTGACTCGTATAACGGAGGAGAGAATTAGGCGAGAAGAACTTGAAAAACAAGAACGGCGAGAAGAACTTGAAAGACAAGAACGGCGAGAAGAACTTGAAAGAGAAAGACAAGAACGGCGAGAAGAACTTGAAAGACAAGAACGGCGAGAAGAACTTGAA